TTAATATAATTTAACCAAGTTTTACTTTTACCATTTAGACATCTGTCTAAACTCTTGATTTCGTCTAGCAACCTTAACTGGTATTTTTGTTGTCTGACATATTCAGTGAAAAAATGTGATTGAGGATCTAATATTGTGTGATTAAAATCCAACATTTCACGTTTAAATATAAATATTTTGTATAATTACTAAAATGATAATTTAACAGTATTGATTCTGATGTCAATTTAACTAATTTTTTTTAAAATAAAGTTCTTATTAAATATAAATTAGAATAATAAAATTGAATTGTTTTTGTGAAATTTTAATTAAAAAATTATGTAAATTTAAAAAAAAAATTTTTAATTATCCAGAAATTTTAATTAATGATAAATCTAAGGATAAATCAAAGGTGAATCAGTGGTGATTATCGAAATATTATCATTGAAAATTGTATTTTCTTCTGAAAATGAAAATTTGAAATCACATAAAAATTTAGTAATTTTATTAAAATTGTAATTATTAGAATAATTTTATAAATTGGAATACACATAATGCATAAAAATAGAATTATGATTGAATTTGTAATAATTAGATAATTTTGACTAAATAGAATTACTCATTTGAAAATGTTTCAAATTTCTGATATATTTCAATATAATTTTATATAAATTTATAAGTATTTTTTTTTTTTTTTCTTTAATTGTTAAAAAATTAAATTTAACAATTTTTAAATTTACAATTTATCAAAAATGCCAAACACAATTGATTGGGATGATAATGAAGTTAAATTGTTGATTGATGAAAGAAGAAACAGAAATAAAGAATATTGGTTTATGCTTGAAAAATCAAAGTTATCTTTTTGGAAAGACATTGCAGAGAAGATCAAAGAAGAATTTAATACGAATGTTATAGCAGTGCAATGTCAAGCAAAGTTTAAAGGGATGATTAAGGATTGTAAAGTAAGTAAAATCCTGATTAAGAAAGCAAACGATCTAATTGTATAAAATAAAAATTATAAATAATCAATATTTTTAGTTATTTGAACTTTATGCAAAAGGAAATCTGAAAGGAAGGTGAAGTGAAATTGGTGAAAAATATGGAGAGCAATTTAAAATTCCATTTTGAAAAAAACCTAGTAAGCATTTAAAAATGTATTCTGTTTGATATTTATAGTTAAATCAAATTTTTTATTTTTAGTTTCTCGAGTAGAAGAAAGAAAGCAATCTGAATTAGAGCGCTGTAAGTTTTGTTATTTAAGTTTCAAATATTTTAAACTTATTTTAAACTAAATTTTATATTTACTTTATTAGAAAATTTAAATAATTCTCATTTTTCTAATACTTTTTCTTTATGAAGATCTGCATCACTACCTTTACAAACTGTAAACTTCTCTACATAATTCTTTTTTTTTAAATCTAATTATCATTCCAACTATTAATGTTCTTTTTTTAAAAACAAACTTTTAACTGTTACTCTTTCCAACTATTGTCATTCCTTTTTCTTTTTCTATTTCCTCCTTTAATTTCACATTCAGTGTTTTTTATGGTTTTTTTTTTCTGATTTTCATTAAAAAAAAAATTTTTTTTTTCTAAACGAAGCTTGTCACCTCTATGCGGTGTTTAGGATCAACAGTTATAGGCTAACTATATCTGGCCAAGAGCAATCATACTTTAACAATTATAAATTTATTTGATTTGTAGTTTTATTTTTTTATTTTATTTATGTATCATTATTGTAATAAATAATAGAACCAATTAATATGCAAAACAAAAATTTTGTTATTAAAATTCTATTTCGTTGGTTTCAAAAACTAATGCTTTTTCGAATTCTTTTTAGATAAATAATGATAAAAACTTTATTATTTAGATTCTTCTAAATAAGTTATCAACTATGGTTAAAACTGCAGCTGAAAATTCAGTTAAACCGTCAGTTGAACTAATGGTCTAACCATATTGAATCACGTGATAAAAACCGATATTTATCGTGATTCTTAATCTAAACCAAGCCGAATCAGTTCGGTTATACAACCAGTTTAAAATCGGTTTATCTTTAACCGTTAACATCCCTATTTACAATTAGCATATTTCTCGTCCCCAGAATAATTATAAAATTGAAGAACAGACAGTATGTGATGCCGTGTGACAAATATCCAACCCTAATCCCCTTACCCTAATCCTAATCCTAAAGCCCTTACCCTAATACTAACCCTAATACTAACTCTAATCCTAACGCTAACCTAACCGGCAAATAAATCCGCTACCATTTTTTCAGGGCGACGCTATGTAAAATTATCTTACTATAAATTTGTTTCGTTACAGTTTATCAATTCCGATATCAAATTTATTTTAGTACAAATGATTTGGTTCCATGAATAAATTACGGTTTAATGTTTATGGATTATCGAATTTCACTGTGTAAAATAATTTGATTTTATATATACTTTTAATTATAGATTTTCTATTAATTATTATTATTAAGATTAAAAACAAAAGGTTTACATAGATCATACAAATAAAGCTTGTAAAAAAACTAAGGCCAAGATTATTTATCATATGAAAGATTTGCAATAGAAAGGAAAAATGAATTATAAATCATATGATTAACATGTGATTTTCTTGAAAACATTAAGTAAATTTGGCCCCGATTTGCATTACATCATATGCGTTAAACAACTGAATTTTTTATTGAATTAATCGTGTTATTAATATATATTGTTTTCTTAAAATGATGAATTTATATCTTTGATAATGAGAATAACCTGTATTTTCTAACATCAATTTATATGGAAAATCTGAGCAACAATAGCTTTAACCTTTCCATTTAACACGAGACGAAATCAATTATAAGAAAATTGGGCAAAGTAATAACCGAAATAATTGGTCTATTTATACATGTCAACTATAAAGCCGTATAACTTTGGATAAATTAGTTTCTAAAATATAAGACTTAATAATACGTATTTCATTATACTTTAAATGTTAAAGTTCAATCAATATATGATCCTTGCGGATTCATTCATTCTTTAGCTTTTTATAATTATAAATAAATGTGATGTAATATACAAATGTATAAAAATAAATAATGATAATGAAAGTTTCAACTTATTGTAAATCAATTAAAGCTCTATCCCCCACATTATTAATGTCCCGTTTATATTGTGGAGGGATTTTTTCATTTATAATGCTAGCACAATACTTGCATTTGACAGCGTCTTTGGAAACTAGTTCTTGACACCAAGGGCATGGGTCTTCATCATCTTCTTCCTTTTTTGATTCTTTAATTATGCTATAAGCTAAATAACATTATATGTTTATTAATATTTATAATAGAATTTAATGAATGGAAATTATAATTTGATAGTAAAGCTTACCATAAAAAATCCAAAATAACGTGCCACAGACCAATAAGAAATTTATCACGGTGTTTAAGAATGAACCAATATTTTCGGTTCTTATGGAGGAAAATCGCATTAAAAAATTTTCTTTTAATAAAATAAAAGAAAGATATCAAATTTTTTTTACTCACACCGCACCATCTTTTTGAGCTTCAGCAGGAGTATTATAAGTTGCATTTTGTGTATTTCCAGGTTTAATTATAATAAAATAATTTTCGAGATTTGAACCATGAAGAACTAAACCAAGTGGTGGTGTTAAAATATCTTCCTAAGTATTTTTTTTTTAAAAAAAGAAGATATTAAATCAAAAGAAGTACTTTAAGAATTAAAACTGATACAACTATACTTACAACAAACGATTGAACTATAGAAGTGAAAGCGGCTCCAATGATTATACCTATATAAAATTTGATTAAAAATACGCGCTAAAAAATGTATAAATTAAACTAAACTGGTTGATACATTACCAATTCCTAAATCAACTACATTTCCACCTCTTTTTTTAACAAAACCTCTAAAACTTTTCCAAATACCAAGGCACATTTTTTCTTATTATTCTTTAAAAAAAAAAAAAAATTTCACCAATATAAAGTTTTAATGGAAACGAATAATCTGTATAGAATAAACAATATTTAAAAAGTCATTTGTTTACCATAGATCTTGTGTCACAAAATAAAGTTTTTAAGATTATCAAAAACCAACTCCTGAACAGGGCGTAAAAATAGGATATCAATTTTTCCGGAAAAATGTCCGGTTTCAAATTAATTTACCGAATCATAACAAGTCTTTATTAAATTTAAAGGTTTCGTTATTTACAAATCTGTTTTCATCAAGTTTTGCTTTGAGAAACCCTTTTCACATTCCACGCTTGAAAAAGGAATTGAGTAAATAATACTAAATGACTTTAATAAATTTGGATGTATTGCTTTATAATTATCCCAATCTTCAAAAACACTATTCGCGCTGAAAATTTCCAGTTTTACGATTAAATTTAATTTTTTTAGAAAGTTGATAATGCCGTGCTATAGATTTGTGTATCCGGTTCGGTAATAGCATCAAAATTATTTTCATCCAAACTAAATATTATTAAAAATTTGTATATTTTAATAAATCAAAATACTACAATTACCTTTCATCAAGGTTAATAGGTTCAGAGAAAAATATTGTAAAATTGACATTTTTTAAACTAACGAATAAAATTTTTTTTTTGAATTTGACGATAAAATTTACTGTAGTACGGTATATCCGAGATCTCCGTTTTTTATTTCCATTTGTAACAGCAGGCTAATTACATTGCTTAAGATTATTATTATACTGGTTTAAAAACCAAAGAAACCTCTCAAAATGCATCCCATTAGGACCATATAAAAAGGCGGAAAGGGGTATGTATGGTATGTATGTATGTGCATTTATTAAAATAATTAAGTTTTAGAACTAAATCATAACATGCAATTAGAGGGGAATATATGGGGCCTTTGCAATAGAAAAGGGGGAAACTGCCGGAAAATTCAAAAATGAGTTAATGCTAAATTTGAACATATTTCAGCCTAAAAATCATATTTGGCATATAAAAGAAAATTAATTTTTCCCGGCAGTTTCCCATATATGTAATTTTTATCAAATAAATTAACTATTTAATACGTCATTCGTTTGAATATAAGCATTAACTAGTTGATGGTTAAACTATTAAAATTCCGAAGTTCTTATCTTATTTAAACTCTTTTGTTGATAAATTGATATAAAATTTTAAATATTTTAATAAATAATAGTGATAATAATATTTTTTGTGAATAGATAAACATTAGAAAATTTTGATACCATATTTAAAAAGGAAAATTTAAATCGGTTTCTTAAAATGGATAAAAAAAATTGATATCATTTCTGTTTGGATTTGATCGGCACGTTTATACCAGGTAAATCCAATTCATTGAATTTGTCATTAAAAGAATTACAAACGATGAATTTGCAATCAAAGCGATAGGGTACTGAAAAAAAAGTTATATATAAAAGGGATTAAATTGAACTTAAATTTCTCGAAATTCGATTCGAAAAATTTTAAAAAAATGGCCGGTACTTTATCCAGAAATATTGCATGCAAGATCTTTTCTCGTCAAGGTATGATGATATGAGCTGATGAATTTTCAAAATATCACTTTTTTAATAACTTCATGTCTCTTAAAAATTAGAGTCAACCAGTTCGAAGATGTATGAACTTTAGATCCATTTTTGATGTGCGATATAATTGAAGTTACACTGCAGATGTCCAATTCAAAATGTGACGCAGGTTCATTAAGTCCAATTGGTCCAATTCCAACACTGATCCTCATCGACCGTTACGAAGGAGCAATTGCACATGAAGATTTTGGAGGAAACGAGGGATTAATTGGACCTGGGTACATAATTCAATATATTCTTTTGATCCATTTTTTTTTTAAAAAAAAAGATTTCTATTGCAGAATTTTTTTCATTAATGACCGCAGGTCGTGGCGTAGTCCATGCTGAAATGCCTGCTTCAAAGATGCCATCTCGTGGTATTCAGCTTTGGATAAATTTATCACGAGAATTCAAAATGATTGAACCTGCATATCAAGAATTAAAAGATTAGGATATTCCAAGAGCGAAACCTGAACCAGGAATTGAAGTAAAAATCATCGCAGGTAAAAGTTATGGAGTAAAGAGTTCTATTTTTACAAAATCCAAACAATTTAAACCTGAAAAAGGAAAAATGGTAGAACAAAAAATTTCAAAGGATTTATTTACGTTTTAAGTGAGACTTTGTTATTTGGTGGAAATCAATTTAAAGGAGAACAACATCAAGGAGAATGACAATGGAGATCATATATCTCAGAGACAAAAGACACAGATTTAAGATTTATGTTGTTTGCAGGAAAATCATTGAAGGTAAAAGTTATAACTATTTGTTTTCTCAAAAAAAAATATATTACATTTTAAATTTTATTAAGGAACATGTTATAAATTATGGGCCTTTCGATATTGAACTCGGAAGAAGAAATAATTCAGATTATGATAAAGCTACAAAAGAAAAAAAATGGCGATCGTCAATCTCCAATGGAGTTACTACAATAAAATATGTAGTCAAATGAAATGAAATTTGATATGCAAATTAAAAAAATTTTCCGAAATAATTATCTTTTGACGTTTTAGCCAGATTAGGATTCGAAAGATAATTTACATTTAAGTTTAGGATCATATTATGATATTGCATATTCAATAAAGGAGTGTAAAAGATATTGCCAAGTATAATTCATTTTAAGCCCGTTATAAACGAAAAAAGAAGTAACCGATTTTCACGTAATATCCCAGCGTTTTTTTTTATCCTGTTTGAGTTCGAATAGCCACTGTACTATGTAATGTGATTGGGTCATCCAAACATAAAAAAAAAACTCGGCTTCAAAATTCTTTTTCCATTTGCCTATAACAGAAATGAACAAAGCGAAATTTCAAATTCAAAATTTATAAACAAAGAAAAAGTTTATTTTTGATATAGTCTCCTCTTTTTTTTTTTTTGAAAAAATTCTTTATAAATAGTACTTATAGTTCTTGACATTTTTTCATTCGGCTCATTTTTTGCTGAAATAATTATTTTAACTATAACTACGAAAAACAAAAATATATATAATATATACTTTATTCTTTAATCGTCAATATGGTTGATTTAAAATCAACTTCTTCGATATTAAGTTATGAGAAAAAACTTGAACAACAACATAAACAATCAAGACAGGTATGACGCAAATAAAGAAGAATCGTTTTTCGCAATTTCAACTACTAGCTCTAATTTGATAATATTTCAGAACGTTGGTGTCATTGCTATCTTATTCATGTCTTTTAGAACTTTAGGTATTTACACGTGATTTTGAATTTTAAAAAAAGAAAAGATAGTCCGTCCAAATTTGGCTAAAAAACAACCATTTTTTTTAATTCATCACAAGGCGTTATTTATGGAGATATTGGCACATCTCCCTTATATGTACTTTCGGCAATTTTTCCTGATGCACCTGGCGATGCTCGTGACGTTATAGGTAAGATCACATCATACCGACTATATTATTTTTTGATGTATTAATTATTTATATTGATTCTCCTTTAGGCATTTGTTCTTTAATTATTTGGTCATTGGTATGTGTTGCATTTCACTCCTTTTTTTATTTTTTCTTTTATTTGCTTTGGTCAAAAGGCCTTTTTATTAAATATATTTAATTATGTTATCCATAGACTATCGTGCCTATGATAAAATATGTTTTCATTGTTTTGAGAGCAGATGATAATGGAGAAGGTGGCACGTTTGCCCTTTACTCATTATTAAACAAGTAAGGCAATTAATTCAGTATTACTAAATTAAACAATCTTTATAGATCAATCTAATTTTACGTGTGATTTATAATTCAAGATATTCGGGTTTAAGTGTTCACGGCGAGAGTAGGTCAGATGATAGTTCAATTGTAAGATACGATAACAGCTCAATTCATAGCTTAAAGCAACCAAATATGATAGCGCGTTCCAAATTTATACAAAATGCGTTGTTAATCATTGTTTTATTGGGTGCATCCTTGGTAATGAGCGATGGATTATTAACTCCAGCTGTGTCTGTAATATCCGCAGTTGAGGGAATTGCAATTAAAGCCCCATCATTAAAAGCATTCATTGTACCCATCAGTTGGTAATAAATTAACAAACACTCCATACTTTTTGGTGTAAAAAAAAAAAAGAATTGAAATCTAACTCGTCGTTTATTTTGAATTTTAAAGCGTAATCATCGTTATATTGTTTTTGGCTCAACAATTCGGCACAAAAAAGGTCGGGGATTTGTTTGCCCCAATCGTATTCTTGTGGCTAATGACGATCGCTTCTACTGGAATATGGAATATCACAAAACATCCAGAAATCATGAGATCATTCAATCCATATTATATCTTTGATTACTTTATTCGTAATAAAGGGGTGGGATTCAACAGTCTCGGTGGGGTTTTGCTATCCATAACAGGAGTTGAAGCTTTGTATGCTGATTTGGGTCACTTCAATCGCATTTCTATCCAACTTTCTTTTCCGCTCTATGTTTATCCTACCTTGACCTTAGCTTATCTTGGACAGGGTGCACGTATCATCTTGGATCCTTCCATTGTCAAACCTAACGCATTTTGGAATTCAGTACCAGAAAATGATTTTGTTTTTTGGATTACTTTTGTTTTTGCTACTCTGGCAACGATCATCGCCTCTCAGGCAATGATTTCTGCAACATTCTCATTAATATATCAAGCGGTGCAGCTGGAATGTTTCCCAAGAGTTAAAGTATGTCTTTTAACCTTACTTAATATTTGTTCCCTTAAATGATATGATTTGAACTTTTTGAAATTTTTTTTTTATTTAAAAGGTCATACACACTTCAAAGGTTTTAGAAGGACAAATTTATATTCCGGAGGTAATTTGTTTAGAATTATTCACTTACAAGATGAGAGAAGAAGTAAAATTGACAAACCTTTTTTTTTTTTTTTAGATAAATTACTTCCTTATGGTAGTTATTGTGATAATTTGTATTGTTTTCAAAGAATCCGCCAACCTAACTAACGCTTACGGGGTTGCGGTTGGTTCAGTGATGATCATTACAACAATTCTGATATCTATAATATTTTGCGTTGTTTGGAAACTTCCAATTATACTGTCGATAGCTTTCTTATTGATATTTGGTATAATTGATTTAGCATTCTTGATTTCTACCCTTCGTAAAGTTAAGGAAGGTGGTTGGTTTACATTATTGTTGGCAATTATGATTTGTCTAGTTATGATAATTTGGAAATGGGGTTCAACCCTCAAATTTCAACACGCGTTAAAGTCCAAAACAAGGCTTGAAAATATTTTTATCAACGATGACGAACCAGATAAAGGTGATGAAGAAGTGACGACAGAGAAAGAAGCTTCGATTGACCCAATTTCTAAAAAAGCAATCGATGAAAGGGAGCGATCAAATGAAATTGTAGATGGAGATTCGAGTGCCAAAGGTATATCATTTGGTGAGATAAAAACTCGAAAAGAGATAAATCGAAGTCAAATACGACTCGCTAGCAGTGGATTTCAAGTTAGTAGATTACCGGGTATTGGAATGTTTTACAGTGAAGTGGGATTGGGTGTTCCACTTACATTTCGACATTTTATACAACATTTCCCGGCGGTACCACAAACTCTCATATTCATTAGTATACGTCCCGTTGCGATTCCTTACGTGGGCGATGACGATCGCTTGGTCGTAAGGAAAGTTAATTATGACGGGTGTTATAATATAATTGCCCGTTATGGTTATATGGAGAAAGTTTCACAAGGACAAGATTTTGTGAAAAGGATGATCGAATCGATTCGTAAATTTGATCCCACTCATGAAGGTCTTTTGGAAAATTCAAATCATGTGACATACGTAGTTGGTCAACAATACCTTCATCCTAAATTAAATACCACTTGGTTGAAAAAATTAATAATTTATGGTTACGTCTTTTTGGTTAATAATTCAAGGCAATTATATGGAAATTGGAATATTCCAATCGAGGATGTCGTTGATGTCGGCATGAAAATAGCTTTATAACAAACTGTTTAATGTTTTACAAAATTAACCAAAATTTTATTCTTTAAATAAAAAAATGCTAAAATTTAATGGTGGTGTAGCAAACCTATCATAAATATTGAAAGTAGTTGTGAAAATTGCAATTAACGATCCTAAAAAAATTTTAAAAAAAGGAAAAGAAAAGAAGGAAAAAAAAGGGGAAAAGAAAAAAAAATATATTACAGATAATCGATCAATAAAATTTGGAAATTTATAGAAAGTTATATCCTTGTTCTTCAACTTTCACATGCTTATTTATTTTTCAATACCACAGAACCTTTATTAGGTTCAGTTTCAACGGAATCAACGGAATTGGTTGCACGGTTAAGAGCTTCAAATTCTTCCGGTTTCACAACTTGTAATTTCCCTAACTTGCCAATTTCTCTATTGGTCTCTGCCGCATTTGTGTTGAAAACTTTTTCTTTATCGTATTGTGGCATTTCATCAAAATATTTGTAATGTTCATCCAATTCCGCAAGTTCGTCCGTGGGTTTTCCCCAATTATGAGAACCACCTCCTTCCTATAAAGAATGACCATTGAGTTTTAAAGGAAAAAAAAACCCCCCTCTAAAAATTAATACGAAACCTTTTTTAGCATTCCTCTTGGATCCAATAATCCATTCCTAAAAAAAAAAAGTTTTTAATAATTTAATTGTTTAATTCATGTAAAAGTTGTTTTAAAAAAATGGATGTATATTTACCTTTGAAGATGACGGTCTTTGTTTTGAACAGCAGGCATTATAGTCTTTTCACTTCCTTTTGAATGAGTCGTAACTCTCTTTTCATTTTGTTTCGAACGAGTCATTTTTCTTTATAATTTTTAACCAATTTAAAAAAAGAAAAAAAAAATGTAATTTATATACACGATTATCACGAAATTCATCATAAATAATTATCATGAAAGGGCGTTTATTAGTTTATTATTTTTAGTTTGATTAGTACAAAAATTGCTAGGATGATATCGAAATTTCTTCATAAATTTTCCCGTGATCATCAAGTTAGACAAAAAAAAATTAAAAATAAAAATATTTTTGAATGATTCATTGAAATTTTTTGTTCTGTAACATCTGTTTAAGCGTGAACCGTAAGAGCAAAAGCGTTAGTAATTTTTTTTAATAAATATTCTGTCTTGTGTGATCGTAACAATGATCTAAGGAACAAAATATTTCTTGAATATAACGTTTTGAAAGATTCCGCGAAAATTTTAGCCAATCGAATTTTCTGTGGTACAAAATTTGGGAAATTACTTCAAAGCGCAAGAACCAAGCTCTTTTTCATTCTTACGATATTAACGTTCAGATATAGCAAATAAGGAACACTAAAAGCAAACAAAAAAAAAGAATGGGCTGATTTTGTTGTGGGTTAAAATTGTTCCTGACAGAAAGCAATAATGTTTCTTTAAAAATATATTGGTAGGAGTTATGTATATTTGTTGTTATGTTTGAATTATAACTCTTTTCTTTAACAGTTTATTAGAGAGAATTGTCTTATTTGGCTCATTTTGTGTTTCTTGTATGACTAAGGATTTCTATAAGTATAGTCTACCAGCTAATTATTTTAAAAGTTTTTTGCTTATTTATCCCTCTTTGAGCTTCATATGCAAGCTTGCTTGAGTTATTTATGCAGTTTAAAAAGCTTTAAAGCCAGCTTTTTTTTAAAAATAAATTTTTTTTTAATATATCAATATATAGGTTCATCATGATTTGGAAAATATGTTATTAAAAAATATCTGTCTGTTTAATTAAAAAGAAATTATTACAATAAAAATATCAAATTGGTTGAAAGAATAAAGAAAATTGGTTAATCAAAATTATTTAAAGTGTAAAATACAATATTGCAATATTGATATTATTGCATATTATAATTATGATTAAGCTTAAAATGTTCATTTGTTACATTTAGATCAACAAGTAAGTTTAAGATAAAGTAGTAAGAAATAAATTAATTATATTCTTAATAATAAAATCATAAGAAAAGGTTTCAATAGAACTTTTAATATGATATAATAAAAAAATTGAATAAAAATGAAAAGTTGTGAATAAAGATAAAAAAGCAGAATTTAAAGATTATTTTTATAACTTTAATCCTTTAACTTTATAAGAAAAAAATAGATTAGATGGTTTAAGTTTATCTGATAAAATATTATGAAGTTTTATTAACAATCCTGCTTAGAAGTTAAATATTCTTTAACTAAAAAAAGCTAATTTTAACCAAGTTAAATATTAGTAAATTAGAATTAAAAAATAAATTAAAATTAATTGGATTTACTAATTTAGAATATCTAAATACTTCAAACAATAAATTAACAACAATAATTTTTTTTAAAAAAAAAAATATTATTAATATTAATAAGTTTGTTAAGTTTTTAAAAATTTAAGTTTAATAAAAAATAAATTAAAATATTTGATTATGATAAATTAATAGAATAATTAATAAATTTTTTTTTTTTTTGATTTAAGTAATTATAAAGAACTGAAAAACTTATTCTATTATTTTAATTCTATTAATAAATTAAATATAAAAAATAAAAGGTTAAGTAAATTTATAAAATTTTATATCGTTAATATTGTTATTTAATTAAATTAAATTATAATAATTTAAAATTTTAAAGAGTTGTATTATTTTTATTACAATTGTAAATCATAATATTTGAATTTTTATTTAAAATTATGATTTTTTAAAGATTCTAAATTATATTAAAATAATCTTTGAAGAATTAAATCTCAATAATTTATTATATTTAAATTTACTTCTTTAACTAATAATTTTCTTGAAATTTTAGATATAAATAATTGTCATTAAAAGTATTTTTCTAAATTAATTTAGGAAATTTGAATTTTAAGATAAACTATTATTTATAATAATTATATTTACCTAAATTTCTAATAGGTTTTTCTAAATTTAATTAAATTCAATCAAATTTTAAATTTATAAAAAGTCAAATTAAAGGTTTTGAAAAAGTTTATAAATTTTAAGTTACATGTTAAAAAATTTTTTTAAATAATATTATTAATTATCACAAATTAGATTATTTAGATATTAATATGCAAATTAACTTGCTAGAAAAATAAAATTAATAGTTTTTTCACAAATAATAAATTTAACTGATTGTAAATTTTTAAACAAATTATTTTTTATTTAATTCTATAAAGAATAATTAAAGCTTATTCTTTTTTATTTATTAATTGAAAGAATATATAAGTCTTAAAACTAGTAAAATTAATAAAAAGAGATAAATATTCTTGAATTTTATAATGCTAAACTAAGGTTGTTGAACGAAATCTGAAGTTTAGAGAGACGTTTAAATGGTAAAAGTGAAACTTGGATAAATTATATTAAAACCTTATTAAAAAATCTGCAAAATTCAGAAAAAGGTAAAACTATATCAAAGCTTATGAAAATAGCGAAACTATATTAATCACTTAGTAAAAATTTAGCGAAACTAAAGATTTAGACATTTAGCCAAATCCAAAATAAGTTTAGACAAGCAACCTTATGCTAAACATATTAAATAATTTTTAGTTAAAGAAAAAGAAAAGGTTATCTTAGATGATTTATTTTAAATAGATTAATCACAATTAAAAAACTATTAAATTAATAGAAAATCTATTTATAGCTAATTTCATAATTCATACCCTATAAATAATATGTATAAGAAAAGTATACAGAAATAATATGTTTAAAATATATATATTTTACGTAGAAAAATAGTATAATAAATTTGTAAATATTTACGTATACTAGATACTGAATATCATCTTTTTCCATATGCAAAAAAATACTGAATTTATACGTCAAATCATTATAATGTATACGTAATATTTTGTTAAATCTTATATGTCAAATCAATATATTGTATACATTATTTTTGGTAAGATTTTATAGTATATTATAAATATTTCTGTATATTAGATACTGAAAATCATTTTTTTTCATATGCAAAACCACTGAATTTATACATCTAATCAGTATAATGTATATGTAATTTTTTGTTAACTTTTATACGTCAAATCAGTATATTGTATATGTTATTTTTAGTAAAATAGAATATTGTAAATATTCTGTATATTAGATACTGAAAATCATCTTTTTCCATATGCAAAAATACTGAATTTATACGTCTAATCAATATAATATATACGTAATTTTACATAGATTTTATATGTCTAATCAGTATATTGTATACATTATTTTTGGTTGAATTTTTTACGTCTAATCAATATATTATATATGTTATTTTTGATTGCATTTTTTATGTCTAATCAGTATATTGTATACATTATTTTTGGTTGTATTTTAACATATAAACATTAAATTATATACGTAATTTTGATTGCAATTTTTATACATTTAATTATTAAATAAATATAATTTTCAAAATTAAAAAATTTTTATTAAAAAAAAAAAAAAAATAAAAATAAAAAAATGAAATTTTGTTTATTCTATATGGGGCATGCTGCAATAAAACAAGAAAAAATGAACATTGGTATTACCAAAAATTTTAGGGATCAATATTGTTTGTTTAACATTACAATTGTATTACCAATGTAATGTGATTATGATATTTGTCTAGACAAAAATAGTTAATATAAAACTCATTTACATTAGGTCTACCATGGAATCAAAGAATTATAGTACTATTAAAAGTATTTTAAAATATAAACAAGATGAAAAAATTGCTTCTTACATTTTCAAAATAAATGATACTCAGATACTAGAAGCTTATCTAAGAAAAGAAAAGATTACCTATGAAATTTACTAAGTAGAGAGAAAAATAATAAATGTTAGAAAAAGAAAGCATCATGATGATACATTATTACCTAATAAAAAGCAAAAATCTTTAAAAGAAAATAACTACTATTTTCTTTGATAGTTGAAATGAACTTCAATTTATACAGAATTTCTTTAAACTACTTTCTTATTTTCAATCAAGATCATTTTTTTGTTTCTTTAACTTTAATTTGAGCAACTTATTGGTTCTGTTGTTTCATCAATCATTTAACCTCACTTTCAAGTCTTTTAATTTTATCTAATAATTCTTGTCTTTGCTTATTATATCAATCCTTTGAAATCTCTAAGGCTTCCAAATGAGTACTGATTTCTTTCTTAGCACTGGATAGTTACTGTTTTAAGTCTTTATTCTGCTGTTCCAATCTGCCAACATAACTCTGTGCTATTATTTCTGTTATGATTGGGGTTTTGACTGGTTCATCTTTCCTTAAAGCACAGAAATAATCTATCCTGTTTCTCATAATTCTATCACAATCATTACAATGTGGCAAAGTATTATTGGTATTCTAATTTCATGCTATTTATTTTTTTGCAAGATATATGTTTCAAAATTTTCTCAAGTTATTTCTTTTACTTGGCTAACTTTGTTCTTTACTTTGTTAGTTAGGAGTTTAAATTTGTTTTCTTTCTTTGGTAAAACTAGTAGTTCTTGAAGTTGCTTGTCTGCTAAATAATTCTACTATGCCACAGTGTTTTCTAGCAGTTCTATTTTTCTCAAAGCTTTTTCTAAGTTGTTATCTTTTTCCTTGCTTTGTCTTACTCTCTATTGTCTAGCTACTTCAAGAGCTTTTAAATGACATTCAGATGTTTTTTCCTCTAATTCTAATGCTTCTTCTAATTCTTTAATCTGTTTCTCCTTTTCTTTTAACTTTTCTTCATATCCCTGCTTTTGTTCAAACTTTTGGGAATTTAAATCACTGATTTTTACCAACTTCCTGCATATTCTGAGGTTAAGTCATTTGAATAATCAATAAACCCTTCTAACATCTCATCAATAGTAATGTTATCAAATCAAATTCTTTTACAGTTTTTAGCTCATTTTTTGGCTTCATTAGGATCTACTGCTATTTTCAACTTACCTTCATCCATTCATTTCTTATTTAACTTCTTATATCATCATGTTCTCCTATGAGTATAAAGATCAACTTTATCCTTGTCATCAAGAGACTGACCAGTAACATGTCAGATTTTTAATTTAAGATTTTCTTCTTTATCTGCTAATGGCTTCTTTAAATTTTAATTTTCTTCTATCAATTTTTTATTACTTTCTTGAAGTTCACTTATAATATTTGTCATTTTCTTTTTATTACTTTTTTTTATTTGCTCTTTTAATATACTTATATCCTTTTTATGAAAGCATATTAAGTATATAAATTATTTTAATACTTTTTTACTTTAAAAGTGAGAAAAGCTAACAATATTTGTCAAAAGATTAAACTCATTAAACTTAGTAACAATAAGAGACAAATTAAGTAATGATAAAGTCATAGAAATGATTTTATTCTGAATACTTTATTTGTTACTAATATAGAATGGTATTGGACAAGTAATATCTTTGTATTCATCTTTCACAAATGGGCGATTATTATGATAAAGGTATTCTTATCTTTTGTAATCCAAAGGAGGTGATATTAACACTAAATTAGATAGAGTCCTAATTTCTTCAAAAATATCTGATTTTTTAGTTTTCAATAAATCGAATTCAGTAGAAGGACTATTAACAACTTCTTGAACTTTCACTGTATCAAGATTAGATGCTTCAAAAAGAAAATGTTGATATTTTTGTATACTTAGTAATTTCTTAAAATAAATTTCCAAAATAGTTTAATATCTAAGTATTGAAAACTTTTTCCTGTCTTGTAGTATTGGGCTTTATTTAATCCTACTAGACTAGATCTTTTTACTATATCAACCATATGATCTAGACAATCTACCCTTATCTTTCTATAAAGTTTTTTAATCAAACCAAAACTACTATCACATTTGAATTTGATATGTTCTGGAACTATGAAATTTAGTTCAATACTTTCATAATAATCACAAATTATCAAATATAAATAAAATCAAATTGTTACATTATTTTTATTTTGTTCACTAGCATTATCACAAGTAATCTTTAAATGTTTTTTTCCTTTATTCAATTTTTTAATTCCATCAAAAATCATGCTAAGAGTTCCATTAGGACCTTTATCTATGATTTCATCTTTATTAAGAACATAATTGATTTGTTTCCTTACTACTTCATCTTGAATACCAAATAAATGAACTTTACATGGGATAAGATAATAGATTTTACTTACTTGTTGATCTAATTGTAACACATGAACATTTTGGGCTCAATCATAATTGTAATGAGCAGTAGTTTCAATGCTGCAATACTGTGTTTTAACCTTAGAATAATGTTGATCAACTAGTTTTCTTTGTTCTTCTGCTAATTTGGTATTTTTATTATAATAATTTCTCTCTAATTTGGTCTTAGACAGATATTCTTTAAATCTTTTAAGTAAATCTTTGGCTTCTTCCTCTTGACGAGCATTGTAATGTAAACCATTTCTAAAATGCTGACAAGTATCACACAGATCAGTCCTGAAACTCATAATTTGAATCTCTGGTGTTAATTGATATTATAATTTTCTGAAGGCATCATATTTTAAGGATTTCAATTTGTTATTTTCTTCCAGACCAGCTAGAAAGTCTCTGTATACTGATTTATAACTCATTTCAGCTGGTAAGAATACACTTGATTGAGTTATTCTATTGATACTTCTCCCTGGACTTGATAATCTATAGACTTCAGTATAATTTTCTAGAAAAATCTTTACTACTTCTGCAACATTTTTATCAATTACCATTTTAGTTTTCCATTGAGACATCCTTTTAATATTACCATGAATTCTTGACAGAAGGCCATTATTTATTAGATGATTTCTAATATTTTCAAAATAAGTCCTGCCAATTCCTAACATAATGAGATAAGTTTCTTGACAAAGAAGTGTATTGTGATCCTAATGATAGAAAGTTCTTTTATTGGATCTAGTTTTCTTTTTAAGACGTCTACTAGTACTTATTAATCTACCATCCATTGCCTTAATTTGTGCTATCAAAAATATGTCTTGTCCTAATTTAGTGAGAGCTTAAAAGGATTCTCTTAATTCTGCAAATCCTTTCTTGGAAATTCTTGAAGAACAACTACAATCACAACCTTTTTCTAAAAAGTCAATAGCTTTTTGATATTCATTAGAACCATTATACTTATTATTACTTTTCATATACACCTATCCCTATATATATAATTTTATAATTTCATATTCACTTTATAGGTTTCTTTGATTATTTTAAAATTGAAGGTTTTAAGATTGGATAGAATAGAATTAAATTGTGAATTTGTAATAAAAATTGAAAATAATTTAGGTATATACCTGATAGTTGATTTAAATATGATTATTGAGTAACTTGTGAAGAGAAATCTCCAAGAAATTTGGTCAACTGACACCATTATTGATGGTGATCAATTTAAATTTAGACAATAATTATTTTTCATTAAAATAAGACAAATTGGTAACTCTATTAGATGAGAGAAAGAGAAGAAGGAAGACCAATCAAAGAACAAAATATTTAAAAAAGACAAAAAATTAATAGGTTCCTGGGCGAAACTAAGGTATTTCGTCCTATATTTGGGCAATATATAGACGAAACTAATTTGAACTTTTGAACCCTTAGGACAAAATTGCCTATAGTGCCCAAAGTAGGCGAAGACTCTGATTTGTCAGAAACACTTGCCACGTGACTCACTAAACTTGGAACAAATAAATATGATCACATTATTGTTATTATGTAAAAAATACTTATATTTATTGAACTATACTTCAGGTGGGATAGATATCACATGGTAAAATGTTCATTTTATCTGATTGAGATCCAGGATATGCTCATTACAGGAGTTGCGAGCAAAGAAAGAAAGTGTTAGAAAAGGTTCCTAACAGAGAAAGAGAGAGAGAGAGAGTAAAATGGCTTTAACTAAAATCATCTTAAGTAATTGGTGGAAGAATAGTTGTATTATTAGTGATTGGAATAGTTGTTTACTTTTTAGTGAGAAAAAATAATGGTCAATAATTTTACGTAAAGTAGTAAGGTTGGCAAAAACAAATTTAGTTACAATTACTTTTTTTAAATTTTTCACTACCCAAAAGTGCTAGGTAGTTCAAAATTTGCATACAGGTTCGTGAAAACTCTACCATAGAATAATATAAATTACTATTAATATTATTATTCAAGATTTTGTATAATCATTAAGAAATGGTGTTTGAATATTTTTTTTAGGGAATGCGTTGGTTATATATTAGCACATGTCAATAATATATAATATCGTAAAAAAAATTCTTATAATCATTATAGTTTTATTTTTCAATGAATGCACACTATACATGTACAGTTAAAAAAAATACTACGTTATGGCTAGAAGCAGTAAATAAATATCCTCATTTCGCAATATTAAATTTGTATCACATTGTAGAATTATCATTGAGAGTTAAAAGTATTTTATACACTTCTTAGCCACTGGCGAACTGCGATAGTAGACTTAACCTCAATTATACCGTGATGCTCACTGGTTATCGTATTAATTACCTTCTCCTGATCGCGAAGATTTTTCTAAGCAAACAATATATGTGTAAATATTTTTCTGTTACAACTATTGTGAGCACCTATAGATATTATAGTATGCAATCAGCTCAAACACATGCATGTACTCTATCACAGAATTCCATGAAAATGGCCACTATACACTTCGTACTTTCATGGCTTTAAAGCCAGATTTGTATACTAAAATTTTGATTAAAACAATACATTCATCTGCAAAAAAATAAACTGTATTAGTAACATGATAGATAATCTTTATACCTCCAAAGTTATTCAAACATACCTATTATTTGCATTGTATAAATTTAAGTTTTTTGGTTGTTTCAAGGGATGCGTCAAGATATTGTCGTAATGTGCCTTAAAGCATTTCACTTTCTTCCAGCAACGTCTTCATAGTATCTCCTAGTGTATGAGGATGATCCTGCTCCATTAGTCCACCAGATACCTCGATTGTCGCAAATTCTCTATGATTCTCCTTGACAATAGCTAATGCATTCACATTATAAGTCATGATTTTTCCGTTTGGATCTTTAACAAATTGCAAAGCCTTTGTCATCATCATATTTTTCTCCACTCTAGATAAATTCAGAAATAATAAATATAACGAGAAAAGAAAAGTTCCAATCTATATGAAGATAAGGTATACCAGTTAAACATTACCAGATCAAATACATATTCAATATACTTGAATGGAAGAGAAATCTGTTCTAGTATAAATTTTCTTTCCTTTCAATGGTGTGATTTTTTACACAGCGAGTTATAGTATGACTTTGAATGATTATGTTATGTCAGTTTTTTTTCATTTTAAAACACATTAATAACAGTCATTATATATTTGCAAATCAATTAATATACTCTGAAAGACAATACGCAGGCCATCTTCATAATCATCAACAACCTTCAATGGTATATTCACCTTTTCATCAAATTCATCTATAGTATTCTACAAAAAATTATCAGCTTAATTTGTAACTTCAAAGTATAATTGCATTATAATACTCACAGCAAGAACTAATTGTAGCTATGTGACTAGTGATCTCAGCAAGCTGGCTAGCTTGATTTGGTCATATAAATGACAATTTATTTCCTTAACAATGTCTTCGTGTTGAACTTCAAGATTAGATATAAGCGACTTCAACCATGGTACTATTATTGGTGCAATACTGCAACCAAAGAGAAAAAGCAATTAATGATATTGTATAAGCGACATGAATTACAAAATGCATACTTTGATATTATTTCTTTTGTTAAGAGTGGTTTGTGTAGTGAGGTTGCTTCAAATAAGACACGTGGGCCTTTTCCTAATGGCGTTTCTTCTGGCATGTCAGATTTAGTTGTCTTTCTCTTCAAGTCAACATGTTCACTCTCATGCTTATTTGAAATGATGACATTCTCTAGCTTTCCCAAGACACCGCGATTTAACATGCTTACATAACTTTGATTCTCCTGTGTTACTTGTAGTAGTCCACATAACTTATTTTGCAGTAGATAATTTTATGTAAGCTTTATTATAAAATGATAATAACATTTCTCATGCATACCTGAAGATTTATTAACTTTTTCTTTTTTAATTCGAGTTCAAAAGACATTCACATTTTGTCTAAAGCTCCTTCTTTTCGATATGCTCGCTATGTAATTGTTAGTTTGATCATAGGTAATTATGGATAAGAGAGTGTTACAACCAACCATGACGATCAAACAGATCATAAACGGTTCATCAAGCAGAATCCCCGCGTAGTTGTAAAGAGCCAAACCAACTAACTGTTGATATAGCCACGACCTAAGAGAACTCCTAACCAGTTATAATATCACATTTATACAAGGAAAATCTACACTTACCTTAGCTTTTTTCTGAAGACTTAATGCCTTCCTTATCGTATTAGCATTGGCTGATGTGCTCACAATATCTCGCAAATTCTTGATTAGTTTATCTGCAGCCTTCATGTAATTAAGCTTCTCTGGCCTATCTTTGTTTTTTTCTATAAAAAAATGATGGAACTTGATGATATCCCACTCCATAGGGTTCTTCAAATCAAAGTATGTTTGCTTGACAGTCATTTGATTATTTTCCTGCAAGTCATGCAAAATAAAGGTGAATATCTCCATCATTATCTATGAAGTCACCATACACAAAAGTTTACCTGAGCTCCTGTGATAATAAAAGGGTTGTTCTCGCTGTCTTCCATTTTAAAAGTAAATAATTTATTTGAGAATTTTATTAGTAACAAAAATAATTTTAAATTAAGTTTTGGATCAACATTTTTAAAAAAAAAAAATAATAAATTTATTACCAAATTACTATCATAATTATTATTTATTCTTTTAGTGACTAACTTAAACTTTTATTTCAATTATTTAAAATGACTAGAGGTTTAGGCAGGAAAAACTTTGATCCTTGTAACAATCCAACGTTGATATTTTTTATTATGTATATCATTCAATTTAATATTATTTATTTATTATTTGATTTCGTATTATTTAACTCGTTCGTTTAATTTATTTATTAGTTATTATTACGTCCTAATCATCCAGATGGATTGATAAGTTCACTAAGATTAATGTTTATGTATATTATTATTTATATTTATCAATTTATGTATATTTAAAAAGGACATCAAATAAAGTTAACTTTTAAACTTTGTAATTTTTATAACAATTAAATTACTTATTCATTTAAATAACTCTTTGAAACGTTTTGAATGTTTACAGTAACAATGTGATTATTTTCCTTTAAAGATTTTTGCTTTTTATTATGTAACAGCGCATCAACATGAGGATTTCTTCTTCAACGTTTATTACTTTTCTTTCTTCTTAGTAAATTTCATAAGTAATCCTTTCTTTGTCTAAATATATTGCAAAGATTTGGTATCTGCTAATTTAAAAATGTAAGGAGCAATTTTTTCACCTTGTTCTTTCTTCAAAATACTTCTGATAGTACTATAATTTTTGGGTTCCATAGTAAATCTGATGTAAATGAGTTTCATATTAACTATTTTTATATAAGGGTAGTTCTGTATATCATTCAAAGATAACAAATGGGATATTATAAAACTATTAATTATGATCACATTACAATGACTAAATTTTGATTCCTTAAATGCTTACCTTAATTAACCTCAAATTATATCAGGCATTCCCTGAACAGTAAAATTAAGCATTTGGTAGCTGTTCAATTATTCTAGTTAGTGATTTCAGTCAACTTCCTCTAATACTTGATGAGCTTATATACTCACAACTTACATAACGTGATACATTTTTAACTAATAAAATTATAGCATATAGACAGTTTTAAAAAGTCTATAGCTTAAGGTTATACAATGTCAATCAGGCGATTTTGAAGAGCAGCATAATTTCAGATTCATCCTGTTGAGATTATGTGATAGTAAATTCACAATAGATGACTAGACGTTATTGTCTAAATGATTTGCTAATATAATAACTATATTACCTACAAAGAATGAACAATCTTCTAATAATATCTACATTATATCTCGAAAGTCTGATATAGCTGAATTTAATGTTAATAAGCTCAAATTGTTGATCTACTCTATTGCTATGATTAATGTTATTCACATAAGTGGTATTGAAGCTTGCAAAGCTAATTCAGATATAGCAAAAAGCCTTGAGTCACAACTGTTACTAGTAAAAGGTATAAGTATTATGCTCAAGACTAACTTATAGATTGAAGTTGACTTAGTTAATAGTTCTGTAAATACACTTTATAAGATTATTTTTAAAGATAATCAGTTTTTTTCTTCCTTTTCCATTTTAGTCTTGGTAGAATTTAACAACTATATTGATCCTGCTATTGTGATCTCAAATAGTGAAAAAGTTGTTTTCATTCCACCTATCAGACATACCTGAGATGGCAAAAATAATACTTATTCACGCTTGCAAGTTTCTACAAAGGGTAGCCAAAAGTTTCTGAACACTAAGTTTGACATCGTATATCTCAAGATGCACCGATTAGAATTAGTTCAAAATTTCATATATATTTAATACAATCTCAATCTATAATATATTAAATATTCATTTAATTTGAATCGGTAGAAGCTGAGATATGTTTGTAAACGTAAATGCATAAATATTTTTGATTTGAGATTTTAGTTAAAGTTTTTGAAATATATTTTCTAAATATCTAATGATTCAAATTAAATAAAATTTAAGTATATAGTAAATAAATATATTATTTATAAAATATTAAAATTTGGGCTGATTTTGATTTCTTATTTTTGAGATATTTAATATACAAGATTATGTTTTAAAACTTAATATTTATTGTTATTATAAAATATTGTTTGTATCAAATATATATAAATATTTTCAACAACTAGTAATTCAAATCATCTAAAATTTTGATATTTTATAAATAATATATTGATTTATTATTTATTAAAATTTTATTTAATTTGAATCATTAGATATTTAAAAAATATATTTAAAATCTTTAACTAAAATTTACAATTAAAATTATTTATATATTGTTATATCTCAGCTTCTAGTAATTCAAATTAAATGAAAATTTGATATATTATAGTTCAAGATTATATCATTTATATATAAAAATTATAACTAATTCTAATCAGTGAATCTTGCGATATATGATGTTAAATTTTAGTATTCAAACATTTTTATATAATTAAAATATTTATGAATTTACGTTTATATACATATCTCAGCTTCCACCGATTCAAATTAAATAATATTTTAATATATTATAGATTGAGATTGTATTAAATATATTTGAAATTTTGAACTAATTATAATCGATGCAACCTGAGATATACGATGTCAAACTTAGTATTCGGAAACTTTTGGCTACCCTCTGTATATTAAAAGTTCAAAAATATAAATTCTCAACTCAAATCAATTAATAATGTCAAATAAAAACACTTTGTATATTCCTCCTCCTCGAACCCGAAAATTAGTACTATATAATTGTCAATCTTGTAACAGAAAATTAGTAGATCCCAGAACCAGAGCGTCTTATGCTAAAAGAAACATTATGCCTCAAAAAAAAATTGAAGAATCAACTAATCCATCATCCATTAACCCGATATCTTCTTTGGAAGATCTTATAGATATTAGTAATGAAGAACCAAGAAAACAAGAAGAATTGCATGAAGAAAGCTATTCATTTTTAGTAAGAAGGCTAGTTACCTCTCAGAAAAGAAGTAAATCTCAATTATCGATTCTGAAAGTAATGGACGAATTGTTTTCTGATGATGATGGTGATGATACTGTAATAGAAGAGTCAACCACAAATCATATGACAACAGAATAAATCACCTGATCTACTACGCCAAGTATCTGCCATATCTGCTAATTCTGGCAGATCTGTGAAATATGCCAGTTCTACACGATATGCCAGAAATATAATATATGCCAGATATCTGAGAAATGGCAGATATCTTAGAAGTAAAGGTTACGCAGAAACCTAGATA